CAGGCCTCTTTTGAAAGAGGGCTTTTTCTGAAAGATACTATAAAAAAAGCCTCTTTCGGAAAAAAAGCATCTAGACGACAGCCAGGACTTTCGAAAAAGCAAGCCGCTTTTTCAAAAGAGGTCACCCAGGCAGCCTGGATGCTCTCATTCGAAAAAGCAGTTTGCATTACATAGCGCCTTGTTTCTAAAGAGCGCTTTTGAAAAACGGTGTTATTCCTCGTAAAACGAGATTTACTGTGGTCGAAAAAAGTGCCGCGTTCTTTCGATTTACTTTCAAAAGAACGTGGCAGCAGTCTAGAGGCAGAGGAAGTTTTTTCGAAAAAACCCTGTAGTCTAGAGACACCCATAGGCTATGTTTACACTGGTCAGTAACCTCGTGGCTAGTGTAGGAGCGCTTTTGAAAAACGGTGTTATTCCTCGTAAAACGAGATTTACTGTGGTCGAAAAAAGTGCCGCGTTCTTTCGATTTACTTTCAAAAGAACGTGGCAGCAGTCTAGAGGCAGAGGAAGTTTTTTCGAAAAAACCCTGTAGTCTAGAGACACCCATAGGCTATGTTTACACTGGTCAGTAACCTCGTGGCTAGTGTAGGCCGGGTTGTCTACCTCCCTTCCCCCCCCCTCCCCCACACACACACTGTCCCCAGCAGGGCTCAGCCCTGGGAGCTCCATGACTACAGCTCCAGCCGTCACTGAACCAAGCCAAAGGCTCGGTCTGGCCGAGGCAACTCTGTCTCTACATGGGAGAGGAGGGCCGGCAAACCGGGCCTGTGGCGCTAGCAAACCCCTGGGCCACTCTCCCTCTCCTCACCAGCACCCCCAGCCCTGCTCCCCAGTGCAGGACAGGTGGGGATGGCCAGTGCTTAACGTGCCACGGGATAGGTGCCGGGCACGTTTGTTACTTTCCCATCTGATTCAGCAAGAACACAGAGGCCGGGGCTGGGAACTGCTGGGCCCTGAGGTCTCAGAGGGAGCCACATTAGTCTGTATCTTAAAAAAACCCCTCAAAAACCAATGAGTGGTCCCGTAGCACCTGAGAAACCAACAACAAATCTATGCGTTAGTCTGTCAGGCACTTTTTTTTTTTTTTGCACAAGAAGGGGCAGTGTAAACAGCTCCTTCCGGAGCAAAAGACTCTTCTGCAAAATGGCGGCTCATTAGGTATGCAAATGAGGCTCGGCAATATTCCATGTTTAGCCTCATTTGCATATTTCTTGCACAAGAACTGACCAGTATAAACATAGCCACGCTGAGCTCTGCTTGGAGTTTGTCTGAAAACAAAACAGAGAACCAAGTCAGTGTTACATTATCTCGCAGCAGAGAAAAATCTCTCAGAGGGGTAGTCATGTTAGTCTGTAACATTTAAAAAAAAAAAAAAATGAGTAGCCCTGTGGCACCTTACAGACTAACAGCTATATAGAATCATGAGCTTTCATGGATAAAAGCCATCCGGGGATGAGAAGTTCATGCTCCTATATATTTTGCACATCGCAGCTCACAATTCTGTATATTCGTTAGTTTCTAAGGTGCCACGGGACGACTCACTGTGCACACCCAAGTGCGAATGAGCAGTGGACCAGGTCCCCTGTTCACGGCAAATGTTTTGATCATCCCAGTACGGGAATACATCTTGGAAACAGACCGAATCCCCGAGGGGCACAAGGAGATTTCTGCTACCATTCGTGTAACCAGGAAAAAGGTCGGGTTTGAGTGGGGCGGAGCCGCAAGCCACCTCCGAACAAGCCAAAGAAGCGATTTGCTTAGCCAGCCCCCTAGGAGCTATACACGAAGGACTGCCCGCCCTTTGATTGCATGTTTCTGTGGCTGAGGCTGGGGCTCGGTGGAGCCTCTGGCAACAGCGGGAGGGGAAATTGTGGCCATATGGTTTTTGGTCCTGCAAACCAGCAGAGGCCGCCCAGCAGTACATTCCTTTTGAAAAAGGAAAAGGAACATCAGGTCGACTTACAGCCACCACGGTAATTACTGTGGTTTTCATGTGCACGCTGCCCTCCTGCCACTGGTGCACACCCTCACCAGGAGCTCTCACCATGACTGCAGAGGAGCAGTGTGGGGCTGAGAGCCCAGCCTGGGAGCCTGCTTACACCCAGGAGCTCAGCTCCAGCTGCCCCCTGGGTTCTCAGCTTCCTGCTCCCCGCAGAGCTGCCCATCTGGAGTCCAGCTGCCACCCGGGCTCTCAGCTCCCCAAGAAGCCAACCAGCTGGAGCTTGAGCCTGGGAACCTGCTGATCAGCCATGCTGGTGATGTTTACTAATTCCTAAAATCCACTGGGATCTATGCAGGAACAAATGAATATGTAGGTGGGGAGTGGACAGAACAGAATGGGAAGTGGGCAGATGTTTTGGATCCAAACCCTTGTTTCCACCCCATTTTAGACCCCCCACTATAGAAAGAATGTGGGTGCATTGGAAAGGGTCCAGGGAGGGCAACCAAAATGATTCAGGAGTTAGAGTACATGACCTATGAGGAGAGGCTGAGGGATTTGGGTTTGTTTAATCTGCAGAAGAGAAGAGTGAGGGGGGATTTGGTAGCAGCCTGCAGCTTCCTGAAGGGGGTTCCAAAGAGGATGGAGAGAGGCTGTTCTCAGTGGTGGTAGGTGGCAGAACAAGGAGCAATGGTCTCAAGCTACAGCTGAGGAGGTCTAGATTGGATGTTAGGGAAAACAAATTTCCCTAGGAGGGTAGTGAAGCACTGGGCTGGGTTCCCTAGGGAGATAGTGGAATCTCCATTCCAAGAGGTGTTTAAGTCTTGGTTTGACAAAGCCCTGGCTGGGATGGTTGAGTTGGGATTGGTCCTGCCTTGGGCAGGGGGCTGGACTCGATGACAACTGAGGTCTCTTCCAGCTCTGGGATTCTATGAAAATACTACACAAATTAATAAACACCCTTCCGATGTGAAAAAACTATACAAATGTTTTCCTTGTAAGAGGAAAGAGCATGACATTCCTCTGGCACGGTGTGAATTTCACCCTCAGAGAAGACACATTTCAGATAATAGTTTCTTTATGATTCTCCACTACCCACATACTGAATTAGTATCCATATGTTACCTTTTACCTTCCATGTGATTTTTAAGTTGCTATCTCTTTTATTATCATCAGCATCATCAATAAAATAGCAAAGAACTTAATAGAAAAGGTTCGAAATGGAGAAAAATTAAACTTACTGATTTCTTGATGCTGTTTCCCTGCAGAAATAAAATGAAGCAAACAGATGTAAATACAAGTTGGTTAAGAATAATTTCAGTTAATGTAGATTTAAAGAAGTGTCTCCAGGATACAAATGCGTAGCAACTGGATCACAAACATTTCATTCATGTTTTACTAACCATGTGGCTACACTAGAGTTCAGTGTCCAGAAATATTGGATTATTTTCAGGCATTTACAATTTGGAAAGTTTGGAATGCCTTATGGAATTCAGGCCCAGTTATTCGATGCATTTAGGAACCTAACTGATTTGAATAAGAGAGTTTGCTGAACAACCATCTATAACAATCTAGCCAATAGAGCTTAGTCCTGCTTCCTTATCTCTCGTGCATTCCTGTCGGCTTTGCCAGGAGCACCTAGGGTCTAAAGAGTGGTATTCCTGGACCTCAGATTATCAGCATTATTGTTTTGGTGGAATTTGCATTTAGTGCTTGAACCTACACGCATTGAAATCAATGGAAATATTTAATCTTTTTATGGTCAAAATACTCTCCACAAAATAATACACAAATTAACAGACACCCTTATGAGAGCACATAATTATACAAAAGTTTTCCTCATTGGAGGAAAGAACACAACAATTACCAATTTCTGTATCCCGATCAACTAAAAAAATAAACAGAAATACATATAAGCTGTTATAAGGAGCATTTTCCCATTTTTACATAGTTGTCTGACTTCTGGGAACATTAAGCACTGAGGCTGTGTCTATACTGGCATGAATTTCCGGAACTGCTTAAAACTGAATACTATTCCATTTTCAGTTTTTCCGGAAAAGGAGCGTCTACATTGGCAGGCTGCTTTTCGGAAAAGCCCTTTTTCCACAAAAACGTCTGTGGCCAATGTAGACGCGCTTTTCCGGAAAAGAGCCCCGATCACCATTTTCGCAATTGGGGCTTTTTTCCAGAAAAGACTACTGGGCTGTCTACACTGGCCCTTTTCCGGAACAGTGTTCCGGAATAAGGACTTATGCCCGAGCGGGAGCAGAATAGTTTTTCTGGAATAGCGGCTGATTTTGTACAGTAGAGCATCATTGTTTTTCCGGAAATTCAAGGGCCAGTGTAGACAGCTCGCAGCTTATTCCGGAAAAGCGGCTGATTTTCCGGAATAAGTGGCCCAGTGTAGATACAGCCTGACTGTCTACAATTCACGGGTCTTCGATGGGTTTCTTGCTGTCAACACCACGAGCAGAAGGTTCTTACTTTCTCCATCTCTTACGTTCTGCTCTACACTATTGTCAATACTCAAGTTCAGGCAGAGGCTTCATTGCTATTCAAACCCCAATTTTCTACTGCATCTCACTTTTCCAGATTACACCTATGGGGACAGCATTTATGAGACTGGGTCTCATCCTAGTTTCTTTGTAACAATAAATGGAACCACAAACTGTTCCCCTAATACAAATCACACCCAACCTGCCAGAGGAGGGAAAGGGCCCTTTCCTCATTCTCTAAGCCCCACTAGCATGGAGCAGGGAATAGGCGGGGTGAGAGGAGGCAGAAGAGGATGGGGAGTGAACTCCAGTCTATTTATTCAATCTAGTTCCAGAGGTAAGAAGTTCCAGAGGTAAGAAGCCCATTAACGGGCTGATGCAGATCACTGTCTCCTGGAACAAAGAGGGAACTTAGCAACCTTGCAGCGGGCGAGTATAATTCACCCGGTTCAGTCTCCTCCGGATTTATTTTAAAAATGAAATGAAGTAATGGCTCCTGAAATAAAACTACATATGGCCTGTAGCATGATGCAATTCTGACCACACTATTTACTTGTCAGAGGAGGGGAATGGATATTGGGGCACAGAGTCCTCCTTGGCTTCCCACTTCATGCTGCCTACAGAACTCGGTGAATTTCACCCTCACATAAGATAAATTTTAAAGCTGCGTGGCTTCCATTACCTCCATACTGAATTGTTATCAGTTCATTATATCTGGCACGTCTTGTGATTTTAAACTTATTGTTGTCTTAATTATTGTTAATTATAAACATTAATAAGAGCAGCTTCAGAGTCAAAGCTCAATTAAGAGAAAATTTGAACTAAATATTTTCAGGATATTTCCCTAGACAAAGTAAATAAAGCAAACAGAGATAAACAAAAGGTAATTTTGAATATTTTTAATGAATGGAGATTTCAGTGAATTCCTAGAACTTTGAAAATAATTAAACATTTTATTCATTTTGTGTCTACTCAGGCTGAAGTATCAAAATGTAATAGATTATTTTCAAGAGTTTAGAAGTCTGAAAATTTTGACTTTTCTATAGAAGGAGGGCCAAATTTTTAACAGTAATCATTTTGATTACAATTGGTATTAGATGTCCAAATACTTGTAAAAAGTGCATTTAGTGCTTGGTCCTACACTTCTTGTGATCAAAGACACAGCTCTCATGGAGGTTAGTGGTGCAGCATTGGGGATTTCATCTTTTTCTAGATTTAAAAACAAAATGGGAGGAGACTTATCTGCATAAAGTTTTCCTTGTTGCCGGAAACAGCATGACACTGATGTGTGTCTCATTTATTCAGGGTGTTGGTCCTCTTTGGGCTCTCAGGGTATGTCTAGAGTACATGGCTCCGTCGACAGAGCCATGTAGATGAGTTTACTAGACATAGGAAAATGAAGTGATGATTTAAATAATCACTGCTTCATTTACAGCAAAATGGCAGCTGCGCTGTGCCGATCAGCTGTTTGGTGGCACAGCGGGACAGTCTGGATGCTCCGCAGTGTAAACCTTATTCCACGAGGCATAACGGAGTGGTTGACAAAGGCTTCCGTTGTTGACCATGGAGCGTCCAGACTGCCCCGCTGTGCCGCCAAACATCTGATCAGTACAGCGCGGCAGCCATTTTGATGTAAATGAAGCAGCAATTATTTAAATCGCTGCTTCATTTTCCTGTGTAGTAAACTCATCTACATGGCTCCGTCGACAGAGCCATTTAGTCTAGACATACCCTCAAAGCCCTAAAACTGAGCTTTCCCAGTGCTGAGCTGGTTCAGCATCTGTGTTTCTCTGCTGAGGGGCTGTTATCCCAAATCTGCGCCTTGGTTGGAGGAGACCAGAGCTTCTGGCCCTGTGGGACAGGGTGGTGGGATGCCCCAGAAGGCAGGTAAGAGGGCTCAGTGGCATGATAACCACATAGGGGTCTCCCTGGGGCTATCCCCCAATTTGTGAACCTGTCACAAAGGGCAGATGCAGATTACTGCCCCCTGGAGAGAGGGGGAACCTTTAGTAACGGATCCTTCCCTGTGCTGCTGGCAGGAGGGCAGTACAGCTCTGTGCTTCCCCTGCTTGGCCCTGTGTGAAGTGTCTGTCCTCCCTTCTTTATTTCCTAGCAGACAATTTCTTGTTAATTTTGTGCATTCTCCCCTGTAATATTTACCTTTTATTTTAAATAGATAAGCAGTGAGGCCCATGAAACCAAACAAAACCGGCAGGATCACACTGAGACACACCATCCAGGGATTCACCCTCGGGAAAAAGGAATCTGAGACATAGAAAACAGAGGACTTCTCTTAGTTTGAAAGCAGGGGTGAAAAAAATTATTTGCACATAAATACAGCAGGAGCTTTGTGAGAGAAGAGTGAAAGCAGGACCACACTAGATTAAAAAAACTCCAGTAATTGATTTTAAAAATAATTCCGATCAACACAGCTTGAGCAAGGATTTACCTGTGAGTGAAAAGGCCAGGTTTTATTTACAGGCAGTCCCCGGGTTACATGGATCCGACTTACATCGGATCCCTACTTACAAACGGGGTGAGGCAACCCCGCACTAGCTGCTTCCCCCCAGCAGACCAGGGAGACGCGAAGCTAGCGCCCCTCCCCAGCAGACCAGGGAGACGCGGAGCGGCTTTTCTCAGCAGACACCTCAGCTTCAGAATAAAGGACTGAGGGAAGTGAGGTGTGGGAGAATAAAACTGAGCTCTGGAGAAATGTTTGGCTAGAGTTTCCCCTACAATATGTACCACTTCCGACTTACATACAAATTCAACTTAAGTACAAACCTACAGTCCCTATCTTGTACGTAACCTGGGGACTGCCTGTACTTCAAACAGATCGTTACCTACTTGAGATTTCGCTTCTGACATTGATGTTAAAAGATGCCCTATGTGACTTCTCCACAGCACCTCAACAGTTCAAAGAATTCAGGGGAAAATTTTCTGCCCATAAAACCCTGTTGACTATTCAGTGCAGTTATGCCAGCAAATATTTTGGCCTTCAGGGTTCAGCAACATTCAGAAATTGATGGATTTATTAGAATATTTTTGCAACTCACTATGTTCAAATGTGGCTGAATCATGATCACAATTAAATCAAACATTAAAAGTGCAGCAAATTAATCTTCATGTCTATCAGATATGGTCTAGACCAGTGTTTCCCAATTTTATTTGGCCGAGGAACCCTTTTCAGCTTTTCAGAATTTAAAGGAACCCCTAGGTTTGTCAAGTCCCCCCCCCCAAAAAAAAGGGGGGGAGGGAGGGAGAGGGAC